GACTGCCATGGTTTTTCAAATATGATGGACAAATATGATGTCACAGGGTATTTCTTTCCTGTGACAAACACAAAATACTCTTAAGATTTGATATGCAAAGTCTCACTGAGATTTGCCTGCTCTTAAAGATGAATCCTCATAACCTGGGCACTAAGACATGCAAATTATCTCCGCAAGTAGCATCCCTCTCAGTTCTTCAATCTGCTAGCGAACAGCACAGACCAAAATCAAAGGTCACTTCACCATGATGTCCCTATGCCAGATGGACACACCAGTCATTAAAATACGTATGCTAAGACACAGAAATGGCAAACAGTACGTGATGAAGTAATGTCTCTTATGTCACGCTGTTCTTCACACACTATTCTGTACACATCTGTTCAGTATTTTACTAAGAATACAGGCAACATCACCTGGGTATATAATGCTTTCAACTTCTGTTCCAGATACAATGCACGAGGATTTGAGAATTTAGAGAAAACTTGTAAGTGGGCTATTAGTTGCCTGTGAAAGAAAACAAAAGAATTATTGTTTAAAGTGACCAGAAGAGATAATGCTGCATTATTATAAACAATTTGGGAACTTTTATTAAAATTAACAAGAAAAAAGACAACAAAACCAGCCCAAAGCCAACACAACACAAAAGGATCCCTAGTCTACAGGCCTCCATTTCAGAGACACAGCATGAAGTATCTTGTTTGTCTCCTAAGCACCTCCTTCCAGACATAATTTTATGGCATAGAGAGGGCCATTTCCTCAGTAGCACTAGATGGCTCAGCTTTTGATGCCAAAGGAATACAGTCAATCAGAATGCAGCTTGCTTCTCTCTGCCAGACCAGCCTGGAACACCAACAGATGAATTTACCTCTTTATTTATTCACTTGTCCTTAACTGGAGCCCAGTTTGCTCCTATCAACAGGAAAGGCTGCATTTAGCAACAAACTGTGCTGGACTTATGCCAGGCAAGCACAAATGGGAGTCAGCTCTTCTAGAAGTGGCTGTGTCACCCCACATCTGCTCCACCTCCACTATGTGGGAACAGAGAAAGAAAACCAGGATAAGGAAAGTGTGAGACCTCCTCTATCAGATGTGCTGTGGGGCTAGTAGAGACCTTCTACATCCAGGTGCACCCTCTACTAGTTTACATTGAACCCCCAGACACTTGGCTGGGCCACTCTCCTCCATGGCTGGGCTCTGCCAAAACACAAGTAGGACACCTTCTGACAACCCCAAGCTGAGCCTGGGGCAGGCACAGGTCCTCCTGCTGCCTCGGCCACACCTTGTGGGCTGAGGCTTCTCCTGCTGCGGCACAAGCCCAACTGCATGAACTGTGCAGGGCAAAGACAAAGGGAGGTCACTCCAGAACTCAGTCATACACCTCCAGTAAATCTTTCATGCTTTTGTTACTGCTACCAGCACTCATGTTTCCACTTAAGTACATGGAAATTTTGAGATGGAGATTGAAAAAAGAAACAAACCAAAACATATATCTTGGACTGTTGCTGTGTTTGAACTGCTGCTCATTTGCGCAGTTACAAGCCAGAATCTGGGAATAAAATGAAACAACTATAAACCACCTGGGATTAAGTGACAATTCAGGTTATATATCAAATGTGTTCCAACATGTAAGGTGACATTTTAAAGTTCTCTGCCATTAGAAGGCTCATCTGTCCCAGAAAAAGTGGCAAAATACAAACCCTTGTGGTGTATTTGTAATGCACATTTGACAGAGGTCATCGGGGTAAAAAGACTCAGATTAGACAAATTGTGGAGACTTCATACAAAGAGTCACTTTCTCCATGTATTCAGCTCTGCAATGACATTACAACAGCATGTAGCTTCTGTCTAAACCACCACCTAATAAAACTTTTTGTCTCTAAGAAGAAAACCAGGACCAAGATTTATAACAGGTAGGCAATGGCAGAATCCCAGTATGAAGAGTCTCATTTTTCAAAGTGTTTGGCAATACCCATGGTTTTAAAAGACCAACAGATACACATAGAGAAGCCAGGGGAATGCAGATACAATAGCCTCCAAAAACTTCAAAATATCACATAATTTCAGCTTAAAGTAACATAGACTGTCAGCAGGTGATGAGATAATGACAAAGTCTGGGCAGGGTCTTTGAATATCTAATACTGTGCAGGCAGAGTTTCTGACTCTAAAGTGCTTATAGTCCACTGAAAAAGAATGAAGTGCAAGGAAAAGAAGAAAAAGGAATATATATAAAAACATAGCTTTTATCTCAACATGAGTTGCTGAATTTGCCTTTCTGTGAAAAAAAGGCAAGAGAAAACTAAAAATACTTACTTAGCAGCAGCTCTTCTTGTTTTCCTTTTTGGTAGTCCCACAGTAATTGGTTCCCCTCCTTCCTTTTCTTCTTCCTCCTCCTCCTCCTCCATAGCAACATCATTCACCTCTTCATCAGGTATTTCTTTTGCTGCTAATGTACCACTAGTTCTCTTTCTGAGATCCTGAGATGGAGCCACCAATGAATCTGCTGGGTAGTACTCATTTCTGTGTTTAAAAAAAAAAAAGGAAGGGATTACAAAGCACGGCATTTCTCAGGGTTTCAGGGAAAGAACAACCAAAACCCCACAATACACCATTCTCACTATTAATGGCACTGTGTCTTGGGACACTATATGGCTAAAAATTCCCAAAGAAGTATATTTCAGCATGTGCATGCTGCTTTGCCTAGAAGTTTCAGGATATAAGGCAGTGACCAAATACAATCTAGAGACTGGAGGTACCTGGTGGAGAGAAGAGAGACATGAATCACTGAGATACTAGAAGTTTGTAAAGTTATGTGGAGGGCTCGGGAGTTGCATTTGCTCAAGTGGGAAGATGAACAGTGAGTATGGCAGTGTGAGAGTGAGGAAACTAACCTACTATAGTATGGTTCAATTTTTCCAGGAAGGGAAGCAAAACATAGGTTTTGTAATCATAGGAAGTGAATATCAGAAACCTTTCCCTGCCATGAGATCACACCTACTCCATGTGCATCATACTATCTGATATGTGCACACATGCAAGCCCACCATTGCTCTCCCTCCTGGGGCAGGAAACTCAGCCTCTAACAAACCCAGTATTTTCCCCATCTTGGGGAAAATATTTTGCTCTTTTGTGATTCCAAATTAAAATGCCCTTTTTTTTCTAATTAAAAAAGGAACTTTTTTCCCACTGAAATCACTCCCTAGTGGAGTAATGAGGCTGTGACAGAGGCAAGTCAATAAATGAAGAGACTGAGCAGCAGAAACTGCCAGTTCATTTCAGCCTGCTTCTTGTGTGATGTTTCTAACAGAATCCACATTCCAATCAAAAGGTTATTTTAACTGGAAACAGACATCTCACCAGCCATGCACTCAGGAAATAAAGTCTACAATAGGATAGCCATAGTCTTAAAGCTCAGAATACATTGAAAGCCAAGTGTCCTCTCAATTGAAAAATAAATCTTACTTACCTAATAAATCTCAAAAGAAGTGGAGAAAGTTCCCTTGACCTGGGCTCCACTCTGTCTGGAAACTTATCCAGTGCTTTCCACAATAGAAAACGGAAGTTTGTGTGGTCCAGCCGCTCACTGCAATCTGTTCTAGTCCTCAGCTGCTCCAGGAAGACAGTCCCCACCCCTCCTTCTGGCATCTTCTCACTTTCTGTTTCAGCAATGCTTTCCTCCTGTTCATCTAGTTCATTTTGCAGCTCCATTTCTATAGAACAGATAAAGAAAGCTCTTCAGGTTACTTCATAATTGCCAGTAGCAAGGGATCAGCCCCTATTACAAAAGTAATACTTTTGGTGACATGTACCTGTTTAGACACATGTACTTAACACTGACCTGAAAGATCTGCATTGCTTAGAAAATATTCTAGGATGCCTTACCGCCTGATTTCTCTTGAATAACAGAGAAGTCCACAAATGGCTGTGTGCTCATGGCTCTATCATGAAATCATAGATTCCATACATCCATAGGTAAACCCCAAGAGTACACCCAAAAAAGACACTGTTTGCAGGACTTCCACTCAATCTATGGAGCGGAAAGATAGTCAGCCCACTATACAGGTTTTGTCATTGCTTCTGATCAGTCTAGGCAGTCACCCTATGCAGGGACAGAACCTGCAACTCCCTCCTGAAATGCAGGCGCCTTTTGTCTCCTTCTTGGCGTTGAGGACAGGAGACACAGTTTTCTCCCAGATCTCTCTATTCCTGCCCTGGACATGATGCTGGTAGTCAAGAGCCCTGGTTCCGAATTCCCCCATCACACACAAATTTGGGGCACGTAAAAAAGTCATGTCATTCACGGTTAGCTGTGTTACTGTTACAACGATGATTAGGAGCTGTGACTTACCGGCATAGGTAGCAGCCCTCTCCAAATGTTCATAGAAGACTTTCCAGAATTGTTTATTCTCCATTTCCTTTGCATGAGAACTAACAAAGCATACGACAGCATGAAATTAAAATTAAAATAAAAAAGCCATGCGTCACTAGTACAATCAAACACTTTGATCACTGCTTTGATGCAGGTGTCCAAAGACAGGACATCTGCACAATACAGATGTAGCACTTCCTTGCCATTACTCATGGATCCCAAATGTCAATTGTTATTAAAATAATCTGGTTGTATCTCACGACTTCAAATGAACTTATTTTGAGTGAAAATGTTCTCAAGATTTCTACTGATTTCTGTAAAGTAACATCATTTAGAAATAAAGGAAGAATTAGTATGGGCATATCATTCAAAGAGCTGGTTTAATATTTTTTTAATTATTAATTCTGTAGTTTGAAAAGGAAAATCCCATCCTCTTTAATCATACAACAGAGGGGAAAAAATGAGAAGATAAAGTCATGTTGAAAGCAGACACTGATATCGATATTTAGCTCAGCTGTCACCATGGTAAGTCTTCCCTCCTCATTAGTAGGATTTAGAGGTTTTCCAGTAAGGACAGAAAAGTCAGAGAGAGGAAACTGAGAGACACTTCTTGCTCCTTTAAGCATTTGTGAAACACTAATCAAATCCTGCTACCTTTGAAAACTCTGATGCTATTTGACTATATTCATTGTGAGTTCCCTTTAATAGTTAGGTATATCGGAAACTAAGTTAAGAAGTACCGGTCTACACAGACTGTGATTTATTTGAGATCAAATTAGTTTCAGAACATTTCACATGAAGGTTCTCCTGCACAAATCCCTTCAAATTTGACATTTTTAGCTAAGCTTTTGTTCACAAAACAATGGAAAGAATGTTCTGTAAGACAATCGCAGACTGCAGAATCCAACTGCATATACTCACGTTATGAGTTCAATTACAGGATCCCAGAGAGGGCTGAAGTTGATATAAAGCATTCCTAGTAAATACCGAAGAGGCACCTAGAATGACATAAAATACCATCTCGTTGAGGTGTAAAAAACAGTATCTTGAAGACTAACCAACCTTCTCTAACCTTTTTTCCTCTCAAAGAGGAAACTTCAATCAAAGAAGTTCTCAGAAGTGCTACAAGTAATGAAGCAAGTCACACACAGCATCATTCATTGCCTCCTAGCTGCACGAGGAAATCTAGAGCTTTTACAGTAAGCTGTACTGAGATCCTGTCACCATACCTACACACTGTGAATGTGCAAAAACCAGTTAAGCCCAGCAGATGATATGGCTTGCCTGCCTCCCTCTCAAACTTCAGGGCTGCCATAGCAGCATTAGGGACCTCAGAAAGATGAAAGTTTGCCCTGAGGAGTCTTCACTGAACTAGGGCTAGAAGCATGGCCTCTGGACTGGCTCCTTGCTCACCTACATGCAGTACGACTGACCTACAGCCCTTGTTCACAGGAGCTTACAAGTCAATGTAAAAAAATTATACAGGTACAGCAACAGCCAGAAAAATAATAATAATAAAAAAAAACCCAACCAACCCCTCCCACAAAATCCATGATCATTTAACTAGTAAAATTGTGACCTTCCAACATCTAGAAAGTGAAACCCCCTTTAGCTCAGCAGCAGAGGAGATTCAACAGTCACAGGTGCACAAGATTTCCATTCTGCAGCAAGATCCAGAATCTAGGCTCTGCAATGGCCAATGGGAGTTCACATATGTGAGTTCATATGAAAACCTGATTAATCTGGTTGCGAGTCATTTATCAAGATACTACTGTTGTTCTACTAAACATCCAAGAAAACACAATAGTCCCAAATACAATGGGAACCGTGATCTCTACTAAGTATTCTAAAACATAATCTGGGAGCACATTGATTTTTTAATGAGTTCATTAAAAACTCTGCAATCCATGTGATGCAGTAAGAACTCTCTCTTGGAATAAAGGAATGAGACAACTGCTTTTTGACTCTAGCTACTTACCTCCTGCAAAGATCCACTTGGTATTGCAGACTGCACTATATCACATCTTAGTTTTCTCAAATAGAGAAGTTTCTCTCTGTAATCATTCACTGTTGCTGGCACAAGTTCTGCTTGAAGCAATATGGCAAATACTGTCTGGAGTTTGCCTGTGCTGTTACCCTGAATAAACAAGTGACATGCAGTTTGTTAACAGTATCCATTTCTCATTGATAGGTATTTCAACAAAACTGTACAGAGTCCCAGCCATTTCTGGACCAAAGAACAAAGTCAAGGGACTTGCTCTGGTTCCACCACTTAGGCATCAAAAGTGACACGTCAGAAAGTATCAGGAGGCAAGGGGACAAAGAGAGAAAACTGCAGTGTGAAAGCACAAAAGCAGAGGACAACCTCTACCAGACACATTCTTTGTTTCTGCAAAGCGGAAAACAGTTCACACACAACATCAAACAGAGATGGCTTTGAAATGTTAAATTAAAAGTTTTAGCCCTACCTCAACCTGTGTAGAAGGTGGATTCTCAAAATGGTTTAGAATTCGAACAGTCAATAGCCGGACCTATTCAAAGTGGAAACATACTTCAGAAGCATGCAGGAGAATGCAGGCTACATATGCAGACACATACACATCTACACAGATGTTAATGTTTTGCACTAGAGGCTGATTTCACTAGGTTCCTCCTAGAGCTGAGAAACGGATGAGGTCCAGTAGTCTAGCAGGCAATTCAAAATGAATACATTAGGCTCCTGCTCTGATTCACCCTCAGGGAAGAGACAAGCCTTGCAGGTCTAAAAGTTAACCTCTGTTAACTCATGCCCCATGACAACCTCTTAGAAATGGACACAGTCCTAAACAGATACCATGGAAGTAAAGCTTTACACAATCCCATGTTTCTCCTTTCAGTCTTTGTCATTTAACTCAGTTTACTTAAATTACATTGTTAAAATGCAAATAATCTTGCATGTGCTCAAAAAAGCAGATTACCTTGGAAACACCAGTGGAAATATTAGGATGCAATTTCTCAAACAAGTCCATTAGGTTCCCTTGGGAAAGAGGTTCCTGGCACCCACAGAATGCCAACCTCGTGTAATAGAGATCAGCCAACAGCAGTGCAGAGGGGTCTGAAGGGAAAGTGCTAGAACAACAGAGTGTTTTATTAGCATTCAGAGAGCACCGCAATGACAAACATTTGAAAATAAGGCAGTAGTGATGATGATAATATTAAGGGAAAATTCCACATGACTTGAGACTCTGTTGGCACCAACAGGCCAGTGAAGTCAGACCTCATCAGCACACTGGCTTGCTGCGTCAAAGCCCAATAATCATGACAGCCCAAGAGGCGTGAGATTCCTCCTTTGTATTAATCAGGCTTGTCCACCTCAGGCTAGCAGGCTGGACTGCCTCCTTCCCCTCACACCTGCAGGAAACAAATCTGAGTAGGTCAGACAAGGGGTGCTGCCACTGCCCAGGTACCCAGTCAGTGAACAACTTCAACTGAAAGGAAATAATCCAGACTTTGGTGAAACAGCAAGAATCCTGCCTGCCCACAAGGAAACCTCCTGCTACCTTACATCCCTTGCTTCAAGCAGGTTTCACCCCCAGCCCAAAGCTGGCAGAAAAGCACTAGACTGAAGCTCCTTGTCAAGACTTCTTGCCTGATCTGGGCAAACTGCTTTACCTCCATCATGCCTCAGACGGGGGCACTATTATTTCCAAACTAAACAGGATGTTTGGAAGCTCAAGCCACCGAAGATTGGAGATGCTCCATCCCAACAATGATGGGAGACGACAAGTTCAGAAGGATTTGCTGGAGAGAGACCAACAATCTCCCTTGATCCCTCCAGCAACTCAGTTATGTGTGCTGATTATAAGCAGAATAGAGTTACAATAAATAAAATGAAGGATACAAACCTCCCACTGTGCAGCAAGCACACACATGAGTATGTAAAGACCTGGTGGAATCCCAACACCACCATCACCAGACTGCAGCAGTTCAGGCTTCTGACATAACTCAGAAAGCACTTGCCTGTCTCTTTCATCATTATAATGTAACATACCATTACTAAGCTTGGCAATCCTAGGTGAAACTAGAACCAACATATCTGGCACACTACCCTGCAGGTGTCTAAGAAAACTTCAGTTTGCAGAAAAAATATCACTGAACAGGCACTGCATCTACCTGGTTCTTCAAACAAACAGTGCCTACAGCATTGCTATCTTACATAACAAACAATACTGAAGCAATGCACTGGCATAACAGAATGGGCAACACACAAAGAGGCATTTAACAAGCACCTACATAAAGGCAAAGTCAACTCGCTGCGACTTGGAAAATCATGAAAGATCACAGAACAGGCAGAGTTTACTTACGTCACCAAGCTCTTGACACGCTCCACAGGTAACAAATGGAGTATTTCAGAAGACTCTGCCAAACTAAGGAGAGTACTTACAGCTTGGCAGGCCACAAACAGGCTTCCTAGAGTAGAGAGAGAACAAGAACAGCCTGTATATTTACTCAGCTCTCAATGACTTGTGTTTGTACGGTGCTTGCCCATCCTGAAATGCCTGGAGTCACAGAAGTAGGATAATACATGGATCCCAGAAATCGCATGTATATTTTCTGACCGTTATCATAACCTGTAAAGGAAATGTTCCTCTGGCTATCAAAATAAGTGTCTACTTATTTTTGCAAGCCAGCATTGAAAGCTATGAGCAGCTCCCAGTTTGCATCTGTGTCCATCACACCTGCATATGCAGAGAACAGAGATCTGGAGGTAAGCACTGTGGCAGGAGTTTCAGACAGCTCTGTGCTATAAATGTTACTCAGAAATTAGGAAATGCTGCCCAAATTGATATGAATGCAGCAAAAGAGAAGCAAAAATATACACTGATGCTACCACATAGGTGCCTATAAACTCTGGCACTTCAGCAATGCACTTCAGCATGAGATCTACAAAGATGTTCCATATACTTAAAAGACTGAATATATGGAAGGAGGGTTTGCTGAACTTGGTTACAACAATCATGTCTCCTTCCTAAATGTCTTAGCCTCCTTTAGGGATCGAGTTTTCCAGAAGAGTGAAAGCCCTTCTAGGTAAGAAAGGGGAAGGGCAATTCCTTTCCTCTGACACTCCTAAATTAGCAAGTAGGTTGTTTAAAATAAATAACTAAATAAGATCCCCTTTTCCTTTATCTCTTCCCAAGCTGAACACTCTTCCTAAACCAGGCAAATTGAATAAAGTTTTTAAAGGATGTAATTTTCTTACACACCGCCAACTGCCATGGAAAAGAAGGGGGAATGAGCATTCATTTCCCATTTATTTCTTTGAAAATGTCCCTCTATTCCAAGTTGCTCAATTCGCCAGGTATGTGCTGAATCCTGCTCACTATTAACATCCACACAGAGCTCCTCAAAGAGAGGAGAACAGCAAGTAACTGCAGGATGAAGCTTCTTAGTGTAAGAGCACAGGTTCCCAAAGTGTAATATTCGTATCATCTAATAGTAGTATGTCTACGCTGGACAAAGATGGCATCTCCTACCTCGCTATAGACACACTCATATGATCAACAGGGCAACCACTTCCATACAGGCAGTTACTCCTGAACAGCTGCCAGGGCTAACTTGCTGCTTCTCTGTCCCAGTTTGCAAGCCAGCTTCCCTGCACTCCACAGCAACTCTAGAAAAACACCCAGTTGCATTTCGCCTCAGAGGCCAGGCAAGTCAAATAGGGAACACAGGGCTGCGGTGTGCCTTGCACGGGTAGTGAGAGGAGGCTGGAGCCCTAGTAGAATGTGAAGGAACTGCAGAGATCATAGAGCTGGAAAGAATGCCAGAGGATGAAGAAAGTGTCCAGGAACCCTCGTTTGGGAGGAAGGTGAGGAAAATCAAGCAAAGAAGTGTAGGATGGGACAATATGATGCAGAATTGTAGGAATGAGGTTGCATTTGTTTTCTTTTCTCTTATGGGCAAAGGAAGAAACAACAGTGTGCCTCTTGCATGCACAGAGAGCTGGCGCAGAGCTGAGATGAGATCCAAGAAAAGAAAGTTTGGGTATTCCTTTTTTAGAGTAAGTACATTGCCACTAAAATAATCATGACAGCATGCAAACCCTGCAAACAGATTAGAAGAAAGGGCTAAATCAAAAAAGACCATGGTTGACAAAGACAAGAGAAGGAAAAGCAAAAGAGACAGTTGGCAGATATGTACAGGAATGTTAATAAAGGCATTATAAAGGGAAAACACCAGACTCTGGAAAAGCCCTTTCAAATTAAGGAACAATGAACAGTGAAACAGGGGTTTTCCAATACTTGCAATCTCTGTCAGTAACAACTGCATTGTACAATGCAAGCATGGTTAAAACTTTTTTTCCCAGCCTGAGAGGGAAGACAACCAGTGACCACCAATGCCTGGAGAAAAGATGCAGCATTTTAGAACTGGTGATGTCACTGAGGTCAGAGATGGTAATGTCCCAAACTTTGCACTGTAGGTGCACTGTAGTCTAGTTGGAGTTTCGTCAGTCAATAGTCTCTCCTTCACTTGACTGCTTCTGGTTTAGATTGATCTCCACCCTCTTTTTTTCTCACTTTCTTCTTTTCCTTCCAAATTGTCTGTCTTCCACTTTGCAAAACATCTGCTGCCCCATTATTACCATCAACAGCAAATGCAGAATCCTTTCCTGGAGGGCATTTCCTCCCAAGCTTTGCTGTTCTGGTTTCACTTGAGCTTGTCAATAAATTTGGATACGATACTGCCACTATTCATTTTCATGCTTTATGTCATCAGAAAAACTGCTTTACATATTTTTATATATCAACAAAAAGCAAATAAACAGGAAATAACCATAACTGACCTTTGCAGAGGCTTCCTTTATCAATGGCTGTGAAGAGAGAGTCTATGAAATTTGTCACACGGCACAGACTGTTTGCTTTGTCCATTGGTCTGTTCATAACAAATGGGAAGACTTTTACCTCTATGTGACACTGACAGCTACACACATAGGAAAGCTTTCTTTTGACATCTATCTTGTATTAAGTTACAGCTAGCTCACCCCAAGTCTGAAACAAGCAGCAAACCATTTTTGCTATTTCCACTTCACAATTTAACTTGTAGCATTCACTGCATCTTCTAGAGGTCAGTGTTTAAAACACAGAAACTGAAACATCATGCATATTTCTATGTACTAAAGTACTAAATATAAGGAGCGGGCAATCAAGAAATAGCTATCATATTCCTGACTTTACTACTTACTTATGGCATTTCCACACAGCATTTTGTTGCCTTCTAACCCCAGTTACCCCAAACTAAAGTTAGTAATTATTTTATTTCCCTTAGTACAATGATTTCTGACAGACAGCGATTTCAACTAGACAGTATTACATAAATACATAACAATAGCACCTTAGAATACCCCTTACCTAATATGTGGCAGCACAACCAAGGCAATCCAAGGCTGTGAAAGGTCAGTGATGTCTTCTTTCTCTGGTAAATGGATTAAAGACAGTACATGATCCAATACCAATTCTTCTGCCTTTCCTCCTTGTCTTTTACTTGTTTGTTGCCTTGTATTAGAGCTAAAAATAAAAGCAAACTTTTTAGTAACCACTTCTTCCCACGATATTCAAAAGTTATGTTTGCTACTTCTAGCAAAAACGACTTGGACAACATAAGGGATTTTTTTCTTTTTAATGTCCTCCACAGCACAAAACATTAACCAGTCATGCTGTGAAGCACCTAATATGGCCTATAGAAAACGTAGAAGGAAAGACACTAGTTGTCAGTTGGACACCCTCCCAACCAGGACATACAGCCTCTAGAAACACCTGAGAGTCATCTCTGAGATTACTGTTAATAAACCATGATCACACTGACATAGACTAATGAATGACAGAAAACAACCAGTGAGGTAAAAGTCTGGTGACTTAAAAGGTTGAGCTCAAATCAACAAGCCCATCTGCAGGCAGAAAGGGTTAACACCATATTGGGACATATGAAGAGGAGTACTTCACACCTCATGGACAGCAATCTTTCCACCCAGTGTGCTTGCAAGACTGCAGTTAGAAGGCTGCACAGGATTCACCCTTCAAGAAAAACAGAAGCTAACAAAAAGGAGATAGCATCAAGAACCATTAGAAGTTTCAGAAACAAAATTTATGAGTGAAACCTCAAGGAATTAGGGTTGTGGTCTGGAGAAAGAAGATTTCAGATGCTTCTGATGATCAAAGCCTGTTATTTGTAAAAGTTGCATACAACAAGACAAAATATTTTGCTTTTTGTGTTCCCAGCAGATAAACACCAATGGATTTAGACTCCAGTAAAGGAAGTTTAGTTCACACACTTAGGACTGGGAAAAAAACCCAAACACCCATGTAATCATAAAGGCAGTAAAGTACTGGCACAGACTGTCGGGGCAGCTTTGGAACCTCCAGATTTGGAGTATTTAATAACAGCTTGCTCAGAAATCTTCCAGGACTGGTTCAGGACTTGCTAATTCCATCCTAGGCAGGAGATGAGGTATGCAACTCTTGAGATGTCTCCTAGCCCTAATTTCTGCCACTGAGACTGCACGAGCACAGAGAAGTCCCCAGTAGGACCAAGGTCCTCTCAGCTAAGTACTCCATACCACTGGAAATCCAGAGAAATCAACAGACAAAGAAAACAAGGGAAGAAAACAAAATGTAATTATTCTGATTCAACCTTCTGTCCCCATTCTATTAAATAAACCCACAGAGTCATTGCTTTTAGTAAAGATAAAACCTTACATAAAAGGCATTAAAACAATCATTACCAGTAGATTAGCAACAGTCATTCTGTGCTTGACAATGGTTACTCCAAATCTTCCCATAGAGCCTCCAGGGGGAAAGCAACCACTTCATTGCAACAAAAATAGCTTTGCAACTAATGTCAAGCTGTGCCAGCACAATGCTATATCTCGATTAATTACATGCCCTCTGGTACCCAGCTGTGCTCTATGTTAAGATTATACTACTACTGCTAAAAAAGCTCCTGGACAAGACATATGCATACAGGGAAGAAAGACGGGCTACAGGCAACAGATTAGTAATGATGAGAACCTAGACTGCAGCACTCACTACACAGATAAACTGCCCAAGGATGCAGCATGCATGTTGGTATAACAAACCCCCATCACACACCTACTGCAACACTTGCTAGTCTTTTTATATCAGTGATAACCTCTTCCGAGTAGTATCTCTTCTCAAATAATCTCAAGAAAAAAAAAAAAAGGGATCCTCCTGTATCATTTGGTTTACAAATCTACCAGCAATGCTGACATTTACACCACCTGGGCTAAATCGTGGAACAACTTTTATGCAGCTCTGCACTGCCTTCAGGCCTGCAGCCATGCAGATACATCTAGTGTTTAATAAAATGGAGAAGTCTCACCTGACAGACGGTTCAGTGAAAACGAGAGGGTACTTTTCAAATGGCATTGAACCAATGGTAGGAGGCTCTGCTTTCACCAGAATGAGTTTAGCCAGAACTGCCATTGCCTCATCCTTTGCAAGGGCATCTGTGCCGGAGAAGCAATGCTCAATATAGTCCAGAAAGTATGGAAGAAAATGCTGAAGGGACAAAACAAACAAACATCAACAAAAAAAAAAACCAAAAAAAAACCCACAACAACAAAAAACCCCACAAAAACCCTAACAAAACCAGTCAAGGATGGGTATGTCTCTTCAATCCAAACCCGCGTGACACCAGGAACAGAGAAATCCAAACACTGCCAAATGAGCACTTGCAAAGCACCAGATATATCAGTCCTGGCCAAGACACTGGCCAGCACACAGGCATCTTCCTCCTCTCACCCCAGCAGGTACAGTGATTTGATGTAAAAACTCACTCTGCCCCAAGTCTAGTCTCATTAGGACGTTCCCAACCCCTGACTTGACTTTCACCTCCCACTCTGTTTCATTAATTTGATTTCTTCTAGGTCACCAGTTCCAGGCCTCACCTACAGCCATCCCTTATTCTTCATTTCCACTTATTTTCCAGGACTCCTTCTCTTCATCCCACCCATAACGAGGCCACCCCTTTAATTCTCAACAGACAAGCTTCTCTTTGTGGGTACAGATACTTGTCACCTTCTCCAACCCTAAGCACCATTACTAAACTTCAACACAATGGCATAAGTAATCTCTTTCATTCTTATCAGGTTATGCCAGAAGTTCAAATAAACATCATGTCAATACACAAAAATGCTTCAGCTTACAAGGAAGGCAAATATGCTATGGATTTCCCTTTGACAACGAAAACAAACTACTGCACAAAAGCCTCCACGTACCCTCTCAAATTGCTCCATTGTAAACATTGCTTCGGAGAACTCCAGAAGAAAGCACCGTTCAAATCCACTTGCAAATACCTGAAAGATACAAACAAAAGGTTGACAAGAACACATTAACAGAAGACATTTCATAGTAAACTCTCCATTACTCATGTGACATTTTTTCTGGTTTATGAATCTACCATGGTTTGAATTCTGAGACATCCAGCCTCGCTCTCTGTTCACAGCTAGCAGGGTTTGTCAGTTCAGGCACACACAGTAGTACTGTTTCCAGTGATGGTTCAGGTACAGACAAGCACAGTTATTTTTAACAAACCCTGCTGGATCCAAGCTGGCTCTGTGCAAAGTCAGTTTATGTACCTCTTTAGTGTGATGCGGAAAATGTAAGCTGAAAGTTCGAAGACTTCTGACACACCAACTGTTACGAAAAAGCTTAGATCCAAAAGATCTCCCAATTCAGTATTTTTTCTGTGCAGTAGGTTGCAGAAAGTTTACCACCTTATGGTCAGAGTTAACCTCTGTGCTTCTGAAGGACCCAAGATAGAACAGCCCTTTGAGATACCCAGGATCAGTGCTCCTCGATGCTAAGATGTGCAACATAAAACTACACACCCAGATCTTCCTTCCCCAGACCCTTCAGAAAACAAGGACAGCTTTAAGCCTCCTCTGGTTTAACAGAAGCCCACACAAAACCCTCGAATGTTTGAAGGACCATGTTTCCTGAGCAAAACTGGACTCATGCCACAGGCAGAATCAATCTTACTTCAATACAAGCCAACACTGAAGACCAGGTGAAATTTGATCTTTTTTAAACAATTGCAACAGCCTTGTTTTCCCATTGTAAATCACATGACATCTTTTCTTTCAAATATTGTTCACACATACAGTACAACTACGGTCTGAAATTATAATGTAGCAAGAAAACTAAAGAATCAGACTCCATAGTAGCATCTCCTATTAATCCTAGCAAGGCTGCATTTGATAGGCATGTATACAGGTAATCCTGTCAATGCTTCAGGAGTAACAGTAGTACCGAAATGTGCCTAGCTCTATACTTTCTAAATCAAACCATTTACCTGAACCTTGTTCACAAAACTAAGCCAAGCTCACTAAATGCTTGGCAACTTAGTGCAAAAATGTACCATTTTCACTAAGTCCAAGACAATGACCTACTTTATAATCTAAGGCAGAACATGCCCCTGCTCGGTTCTCCCTCCATTCTCTACAGAGGCTGTAGGTGTTCGAATCAGGACCTATTTTTCATTGCAAAGATGGCTGCCACAGTGACAGTGTTTGTGTAAGACTATCAAGGAGTCCGCAATACCTCAGCAGACATTAGTTAATAGGCAGTTTCTCCCTTATCTGTGCAAAACAGTTGAAGAGAACCTTACAGTATTATTTCCCAGCCTAAAGTAGAATGTCCTGAATGTCTACTCTATGGAACTTAAACTCTGGGATTTCTGCTGTAAGCAGCAGTCCTTGTTACCTTCTCAATACCTTCCTTGGTCAAAGAATCAGGCAAGAAAACATTCTCGGCCAGCAGAAATGAAGAAATGGTCTTCAGCAGGGTCTTGCAGCAAGATGATGAGAGATCTGGTGTTTGTAGCATTTTTATTAAAATCTGAAATGAATGAGAGAGAACTGATATTCATCTGTGAAGGCAGTGATTGTCTTGTCTGAATGACCTGAACAGTCCCTGGAGCAGGAGGACACGGTTTTCTAAAGAACTATTTCACAGAAATGAAACTTAATAATCCTGTTGAAGTTTGAAGGCACTAAACCTACGTTTGAACCCAATGGGGTCAAACATATGTGTATCTGTTAGAACTGTTCTAATCACTGACATGGGGATCTAGGTCTCCTCCACAGAAGCAGGAACTGGTCTCTAGAAGCAGCAGCCTTGCTCATTTAAAGGACTACAGAATCATAGTAGAGAGGTAAATTCTCAGTGGATTGGAGAGGTAGCAGTACTCAGAATAAACGTCTCTGTTCGCCCAACTTAAATACTAAGCAAAATGATGCATCAGAAATGTGCACAAGTGCTTCACCTGACCACACCTTTTTGTACCAATTGATACTTCACCGGCACATCAGCCAAAGTGATGGTCTGACCTACCTGACAGACATCTTCAGGCTGTGAGATTTTGGATCCATTTGCATGTTCCACTAGGATCAGATAAGTTTGCAGAATCCTCTGCATCTGCTCTGAAACCATACAGCAATTGGCCTTAGTTATTTTCCTCTGCAAGTCTAAGAGTGATCCCTGTTTAAATAAAAAAGGAAAGCAAACTGTTTCAGAGAAATTATCAGACCCTGTTTCACTTATTGTTATTTGAAAGGCATTTTGAAGAATCAACATCTCATCTGCCCAACAAACTACCTTTGACTCTCAATCATGTTCAACAACTTAAACCTTGCAGAAACACTATGTGATTCCCATTATGTAAAAACACACATCCCAGATTCCTCGGACAGAAACACAAATACCTCATTAGAAAAAGGTCTCCTAAGAGGCCAACAGATGACATACAAAATAGGAAAAAGTACTTGGCCCATAGCATGGAAGCCCCCAGCTTTCACTGGAATTATCAGAACTTAAGTACTTTTTTAAGCATCATTATGCTGATATGGATGCTGTGAGATTATTCATATCACTACCTTATACATAAATGGAACTACTCTGGATCACTCCCATTAGTGTCCCTTTCTGTTCAGAGGATATAAACAAGTATTTTTCTTGGTAAGTGCACAGGATTTTTTCAGTCTGATGAATTAAAAATAAAAAAATAAAAAAATAAATCAATGTACCTCCAGGCACTTGAAGACAATGTCAAAATGCTCCTTATGGATATGCACCACAGCTGATCTGATCATCTGCTCAAAGGCTTCTCCTACAGTAACCCAAGGGAGTTCTATTTCTTCTTCAGTAATAGGCCCCAGCTTTGACAGAATTAACTTCATAGCCTGCACAGGAAAAGAGCATATCATGTCCTTACACTTAGAAAATAAATCTAGCAATCCTAAAATTAATTAGTGCATATACTGGTAAAGTATTCCAATGATTTTCACTCTTTGTAGAATGATTACAGGAAAAAATAAAAAAGGTACGATTTAAAATCTGAAGTATCAGTAAGCAGTTCTATTTTAATATACAAGAATACTGCGCAGGAATTTCTAAAAAAAACTTTCTATCTCAAAGAATATTCTTAGAAGGCAGCTTTCAGATCCTGTTAAGCAATGAACAGCATGCTTATCACCAAGGATCCACTGAAGTGAACGAGACAACACTCAGTGGTTTCACTGAACACTGCCTAAGGCTCCATTACAGCAACATTTAAACCAGCAATCTTTTCTTGTCTTTACCATCTCTGCACAGGAGTGGAACATGTTTCGAACACCCTTGCACATCTCAAAAAGTAGCTGTCCTACACCTTCCACCTTCTCAGGGTGCTCCCCCAGGTCGCCAAGCATTAAATTGAAGATTGCATTTTTATCAGACACCTACAAAACATAAGGAGAAAAAAAACTGTTATCTTCTATTCAAAGCTGCCAGATAGATAGAGGCAATTAAACGGCTCCGCGGCACCACATTACTCTCTGAGTCCTGCCTTCCCTTAACAGATCAAACTCATTATTTCTGCAACCACACAAGGATATTGAAAGGAGAAAAATGATCAGCTATTCAGTTACCACAGCACCTCTGGTCCCAAGATGTACACAGGTCTACTTTGGTCAGTGCAGCTGAAATATGTGGGTTTGATTATTCTTATGATTTTAAATGTGTGCATAAATGCACCATTAAACTGATCCAAACTGAAACACAAAGGTTGCTGCACTGGTGTGGAAAGAGACATGTATCAGCTGATCAGAGAATCCAGTAATCCAAAACTGTAACTACACTTGGAAATACTGCAAGGACTTCTGGCCCAAGATTCTAAAGCTCTCCACTTCTGAGGATTTGACTTGAAGTTCAGCAATTTCTGAAAACCAAACACACGTGCTTTATTAAGGTCTCTCAACTTAGACAAAAATGGGGATACTCAAATTTGTTAGCCAGTCTCAGAAATCCTGGCTTTTGTATGTTTTGACTAAATAAAACCAAACAACTACTACTCCCTTTCCTTTCCCCATGAAAAGCTGCTGTCTGATCTTGACTGATCTTCCTGGGAACATTATATACTTTGATTTTCAGGAGTGCAAAAAGATTGTCATGAGTATTTCATTTCTACAAAGGCCTTAAAGCATTCATGAAAAAGTTAGTGAGCAAATACGCATTTACAAACTAAAGCCTCCCTTCTGCAAGACTACCTTACCATTTCTAGTCATTTTAGATACACCAACCACAGACACGTGGTTTAACTGCTCTTAAAATACAGCACACCAAGATGTTTATTTACCACTGCTGATACAAAGTGCATGACATTCTCAGTAAAATACTCGCTAAAAATGACAACTCAGGACATGCTGGATGTCGCTGCATGTCTTGTTAACCCTTCTTTGGTGAAAACCCAGTACTACACATTGAATCCAAGAGCAACCACAGACTGGAGATAGCTTCAAAGTACAAACACCTCACTTACCTTTCTCATTAGAAAGACAAAGCTTTCGGCAGCAAAGTTTCTGATGTGAAGTTTGTGGTGAGCCAGCAGGGTGCTGTACAGGCTACAAAGACACAAAAGAATCCACTGTCTTAAAGGCAGTGCAAGAATTGCCACCAATTGGGTTTGAAATGTTTTCAGTTTACATTGCCACTTTCAACAAACACTAAGAATCTGTCCTCCTAGTGAGGGCAGATACCTTCCTCAACTCAATTCCTTCCCACTTCCCCTGGATAAAAAACAGTTTTGCAAAGAAGGTCACATGACAATACCAGGCAAATTAAGCCACATTCAGAAATACCTCTAAAGTCTCTGGATCCACACAGATTCAAATGCAGATTGAGATTTTCAATATATGTACTCATCAGCAGTAAGTAAACCAAAACTGATTTGATAAGCCACAGGCTCACCTGCGCACTTAGAAGTTTCTAAAGATACAATTTACAGGCGTGATAAGTATTTGCATGTTGCTGGTAAGTATCAGTAACAGTTGCATGTGACTCACCACATACTCAGTGCAGAGCGAGTGCTGCCTCAGATTTACAACCAAGCAGAAGTTTTTTCAACACACTTGACAGCTTTCGCTGGGTTGGGGAGAAAATCTGTAACCCCCCTTTTGCTCCATCTGCTCCCAATCAAAATTGGGAAGAAGCAACATGGACACACTGGCTATGACAAAAACAAGAGCACTGCTACCATAGCAATGTAAGATTGAACAACCAGTCATACTGGGTCAGGCCATAGGTCCATCCAGCCCAGTAATCAGTCTAAAACACACAGGAGCAGGTGCTTCTGAAATGTTTAAAAACAAGACAAGCACATGCAAAATAAGCCTTCAACCACCTACAGCTCAGGGACTCCTCAAGCCAGCAGTGTCTCCTATGCATCTGGTAACTCCCTCCAACTGGGTTGGTTTCTCTACAATGACCTTCCACATCCACAGCATCCTGCAGCAAGGAGTTTCAAAGCATACAAAACTGCCTATCTCATCTGCTCTCATTAAACAGACAGGAAGAAGGGAAAAACATAAAGGGGAAAATACTGGGAGAGGAATGATTAAAAGACTCAGAGGAATTCATTCAATGTCATAAGTCCAGGTGTCTGCAATTGGGAAAGACAGAAATGATGTAACTACAACAGAAGTACTTGACATATACTTAGGAGACCTGTGTTGAATTTAGACTTGATCACAGATACCCAAGATGACTCTGACAATCCAGCATCTTTCTGAGCTTTGTTCACCCAGCTGTGGATGCCTCCTCTCCTATTCCCACAGGAGAAAAGGAGACTGAAAGCCCAAATGTGCAGCATAACCCACACCCCTCCTCCAGTATGGTGGCCCATAAAAGTCAGTAGGATCTCAAACAGACCTGTGTATGATAAAAAGGCTCAGAATCTCTGAGAAAGATGGGAAAGCATGCTCACAAGTATACTGAAGCATTAAGCCTTGTATTCATGTGGCATTTACATTTCTAAAGCACCTAATAACTGCTGATCAACACAGTCATTAAACACAACTTTTACCTGTATATGTTGTGTATGTCCTTTACCATCAATCTCCACAAGTATTTGTAGAGATAGGAAAGAGAGGTGAAAGCCCATTCCAGCAGGTCTGTGTCCTGTGTATCCAGTAACTTGGTGATGGCCAGGAAAAAGTCATGAAAGTGAGGATAGAAATCGGTCTGAAGATCTCGAGCCAGCTGCACCACTAGACTGTGTTTCAGAAAATACATAAATGTCAGTGTATTGCAAAAACAATCCAACAAAAACCCAGTCAAACATTACATAATCCAGCACAGTCTCTTTGGAAAGAAAGACAGCATCACATTTACTTCTCACTTTTATTTAAGTATCACCTACAAGGCAGCTGTGGATGGCAAAAATCTTAAGATTTTTTAAAAAACAAGCAGGTATCAGTAAACAAGAAGACATAAATTATTAACAACAAAAACATTACTATTCCAACACTCAGTAAGCACTCAGGCTAATTTGCTTGCCTTGTCATAGTTTTTTGGAGTTGAGTTTTTCTTTAAGACTTTTTGAAGACATAAAGCTCTGTCAGGAAAACATGACCATTTAGGGCATCTCATTGCTATACTTTCCTCAGGTACAGTAAAAACAAAGAACACTCACAACAGGAGTCATGATTACTTTTAATACTATCAAGACTTCTGGCTACATTTTGTTTACCATATACTTACTCTAATAGGGGTTGATAAGCAAGACTGCCTTCAACTTGCAAATGTGTCTTCAAGCTTTGCACAATGGCACTCTGGTAATAGACCAGCTGATTGAAGGACTGGCATTTGTTGGTCACTTCACTGTAGAATTGCACTGTTCAAAGCACAAAAGTAAAACCCTGAAAATGAGTCCAGTTGGATGTAGGATGTCAAAGAATAATAGCTGTCCAGTGCCCAGTCCAAAAAACAATCAACAGAAAATCTCTCACTGGGCTCTGGATGCAGAAAAAATGTATTTTAAATTTTAACATTTTAAGGAAAGCAGGAGAGCTGAATAAAAATGACATACCAAAATGCTGAGTGAGGTTCAGTTCCCTCCATTTCTGCAGTCCTTCAAAAAAGTAGGTTTCAATCTCCTGTCAAAACGAAGATAAAATAACAGCTAGCAAGCCTAATGAATGTAGCCTACAAATATGAAAGGTTCAAATGAAGAAAACTATGAAATGCCTTAAATATTTTAAGAATATTTCAAGAAATCTTGACGACTTCATTTCAAAAGGTGCTATGGAATTTCCCTGCAAATAAGACTTTTCTTTCTACATTCAAAATACATTTGAAAATATTTTCTGGCGACAGGACTTGTTTATGTAACTGCTTTTTAGACCCCTGTTGCCAGCATTCTTTGGGATTTCTTTTGGCATCCTCACACCTACTGAGTGGGAAGTTCAGAAGAACAATTCAGCAGGCCAGGAGGTAATAACCTGCAAAGCACTATAATCACAATGATGATCTATAGGACACATGTAAATGACCTTCTTTATGATCTATAAAGACACATGCTCATGTTTTATGCATACGCTGTGAGTATTGCAACTGCTCAGCACCTGTAAACCTTTGCAGGTCCAGACCTAGGACTGCTGACTGCCACAGCAGCATCTTCAGAAATACCCAAAAGCCCAGCCACATGGAAGCCATCAGGACAGCCAAAGAGTCCCTATTACAATACTACTAAGTAGGTAAAAGAGTAAAGGGAAACAAAACACTAAGGCTCTAGGAAAGGCTAGGAAAGCAAGAGCTTCTTTCCAAATTCCTCCTGAATAAATGTCTTATGGGAATCTTTCATGGAGTGTAGCTACTTGTGATATGATTTCAGCAAATGACCACAACTGTTGTTCTCACCTCAGCATAGCTTCCAGTTCTGTCGATCCGATGAATAATATCAATATTAACATTGCTTAAACGCTCTGAAAAGGTGAGAAACTGTAAAACAAAAGGGAATATTTGTTTCTCGCTCAGTTCTGAGAACAGCCCTCTTAATATCGCACTCTCTGCAAACATAAACCCCACTTTTAAAGACAGGCTGCCAGACATACTACCCATCAATCTGTAAACAGTCTTACCGAGTTTTAAGGCAAAAAAAAAAAATGCTTAAAATGCCAATGAACAGCCCTCTCCCCCCTTGCTCTGCACAGTCAAGACGTGCAGCCCACAAGCCTACACAACACAGGGAAAAAGATGCAAAGAAATTACAAGGACATGTAGTGATAGGACAGGGGGTAGAGGCCTTAAACTGAAAGAGGCTAGACTTAAATTAAATATAAGGAAGTAGTTCTTTACTGTGAGGGTGGTGAGGCACTGGAACAGGTTGCCCAAGGAAGTGGTAAATGCTCCATCCCTGGCAGTGTTCAAGGCCAACAGGGAAAAAGATGCAAAGAAATTACAAGGACATGTAGTGATAGGACAGGGGGTAGAGGCCTTAAACTGAAAGAGGCTAGACTTAAATTAAATATAAGGAAGTAGTTCTTTACTGGGAGGGTAGTGAGACACCAGCACAAGCTGCAGAGAGATGCTGTGGCTGCCCCATCCCTAGCAGTGTTCAAGGCCAAGCTGGACGGGGCTTGGAGCAACCTCGTGTAGCAGAAGGTGTCCCTGCCTCCAGCAGAGGGGTTGGAACTAGGTGATCTTTAAGGTCCCTTCCAATCCAAACCATTCCGTGATTCTATGAAATCTACCGGATTTCAACAAACTGCCCAGCTCTTGTCTTTCCTGAAACAGAGCCTAGGCTAATACCCGCACTGAATATTACTTTTTTATTAAATCATGTCATTTTCCAAGTTACGGTTGTGGCGTGACTGGCGTCCCCGAGCCGGGGAAGGGGAGAAGCCGCGCTCCGGCGCCAGTGTCTCGGCCAGGGTCTCCCCGCAGCGCTGCAGGCAAGCAACGCGGCTCCAGCACACCACAAGCCCTCTCGCCTCCTCCCCCAGCACCTCTTCAGGAGCCGGGCACTACCACTGAACTAACACCGAGGATAAAAACCCCATG